TATCCGCTTTATGTGCGTCTCCTCCTCCGTCGGATAAGGGTAGGCAACGCATCTGCAATTGCGGATGTCTATGGGCAGCGGTCGCTTCGCCTTTTTGGCGGATTCAGGTGCCCGCTTGCTCGTTTGCCACCTTGTTATAAAAAAAAAAAATTTCGATCGCTATATTGAACTTTGCTGGCGATATATCTGCATTTTAAATAGGAGTACATTTATTTAAGTCTTGCGAACTCGGTCAATACGTACCATCTGTTTTGTTTATAATCTGTGCGACACCGACCACATCTCCCTCGTAGTTGCAGATCGGCATGCAGAGGATCAATTCCGTTTTATAACCTGTGCGGGCGTCAATTTCACTGTTGAACCTGGAAAATTTCACATCTCTAAGTTACTACTCATCATCATCCCCCCTATCCTACTCCTGTAGGGTCGGCACAACAGGTTTTTGTCCTCCAAATAACTCTATCATACGTCATCTCAGTCATCACTCCCTTTTTGATCATGTCACCTTTCACGCAATACATCCATCTCTTTCTTTCTTTAGGTTACTACTAAAGACATTTAAGAAATATATAAACTAGACATAGTGAACATTTCACCGGTAACTTCTTTGAAAGGTACTATGTCGGTTGTCAAGTTTAGTACCACCTCGTGTTGTTTTGACATGTTATAAAACTTACAAAATTATAATAAGCTCCATCTTTTGGTATAAAAATAAACTAAACAGTGTTACGAAACAAAATACCACTATTTAGTTACAACTATTGGCTATTCATTTAAACTCAATCTATACTATTATAATAAAGCGTAAACACACACTTCTTTGTTGCCTAAGATGGCAGCAATTACAGTATATTTTCGAATTATTCCTTTTTTAATAAAAAGCCCTACTTACGTCACGCTTTAGGCTATATATTTTCAAGCCATTAAACTTAGGGGGTAAATATTTTGGAAAAAAAAACCTTATGTGGGAAAGAGACCATAAGTTGTTGCCAACATCAAGGAAGCAATGCTACCATGGTTTGACATCATGTCATGTCATTTTGACATTTGCAATTGATAATTTGACAAATGTGAACAATAAAATGAAATTTTTATAATTTAATGCGGATGAGGTCGCATGAGAACAGCTAGTTAATTATGTTGCATGTGGTTTTGAGGACCTATCGATAGATAGTGCTAGTGAGGAACATGTAAAAATGTTTCAAGTGAATTTTCAACTATGCTTCCTCTGTACAATTTTTAAATCTCTTTGGTTATTACCCTTTTCAAATATCTTGCTGCTAAAATCCTATACCACATAAGCATGTTCTGCGCATTGACGCGCGTGTACTTGAATATGAAAATACTACTTTGTTCAAGACTGTAGGTCAGTCGGGTTTTTTGGTTCTATAATTAATAAATCGTAGTATTAATTATTAATATATAATTATTGTGCTTGATTACCTGGGATCCGCGTATGCGTTTCTTATATTAATAGGATGTTTCGTTTGTGCTGCCAACCCCGCTACGCCGACGCCGAAAGGTATTCTGATCTCTTGAGTTCTTGCTGTACGAAGTGCGTCGTATAGTTCTGAAAATTAAAAAAAAAAAACTTTACCGTCATGACAAATGTTAAAATATAAATATAATGATATCCTAGCTTTAATTCTTGTACAACAGTAACTACGTGTTCTCAGGCTTTACGTCTAAATATGCCAGATACTGGAACAAATGTAAGATGCCGGTTCGTATACTACAGGTATGGGTTCGATTCCTAAACCCCTGAATTTATATTCGATTTTTGAATTTCATTGCTACATTCCTCCGACAGATTCAAACATATGTGTGAAGTCAATCCGCACTGGGCCAGCCGGCCGCCCTTAACTTGAGTAGGCTCCAAGCCCCGAGAGTGGGGACTTCCTTGAGAAGACAACAATTTGTATATTCTTGTTGTGTTGTTAGAATTTAAAACAATGAAATATACGTTTATTGTTAGCGCGTGCACCTAAAACTAAACTATCGCACAACTGTTTAGTCTCGCTTTGATTTCTATGAGCTTATGAGGTACACTATTCGAATTTTAGTTGTGCAACTAAACAGTTGTGGCTGCGAAACAATCGACAATCGCACAGTTATTCGATAGTTTAGTCAAGTGTGCTTTAGCAAGCATTTGTTTTGTTAGTCCATGTTGTTATACAAGTATTACAACAGTAGAGACGGAGGGTGACACAATTAATTCGCAACACGTGTGGTCCGCAGACATGCGGTTTTAATATCTTAGTAACCCATTGTGTTTGATCCATTGTATCTACTGAGGTGAGGTAGCAATGGATTTGAATAGAACTATTAAAATTTTATTCGATATTGATGGATCGTTTGAACGATGTGATTCGATCGCGGAAACTTTAAATTTTAATGTCTGTGCGTTTTCACTGCGCAAACATTCACAAAACATATCGACTTTCATATCAGTAGGACAGACATGAGTAGAGTAGAGTTATGGTAAACAAAATTGCACTTTATACAAATGTAATAGAGCTTAATTTTATTATCACTTGTTTTTTACGTTTGCTTTTGATAAGAAAATACTTGTAAAGTAAAATTAAACCTACAGTCAATTGTTTAAAGGTGAATTTTATTTGAAAAGAAATCTGCTGTTCTTCGCCCTGGTTTCAAAGGTGGGCTCGATTGATTTCAATTTAAGAAATAATTCTTATAAAATGTAGAGTATGTAGAGTCCCAAAAGATGACGTATGCTTCGGTGATTTGCAAGCGTTGGAGGTAATTCTATCTTTAACTAACGCAGTATTAGTATAAAAATTATACAGTTAGAGTTCTTCGCGGCGTGTCACTTACAGATTGCTTTGTTACCTTTAGTTGACCACCAACAAATTCCCTGACAGTACTACTTATATGACTCTTAGCATACCTGTGTCTCTGGTCACATCGAAGAGTTTAGCTTGAAGATATCGGTTCGGTGGTATCCCTTTGGCCAAGAACAAGCTGCCGCGATCTGCTGATGTCAGCAAGCATACGTTTACTAAAATCTGTGGACAGAATAAATATGGAGAATTAATGAATAAGAAAGAAGTATCTTATTAATAGTATAAATGCGAAAGTTTAGATGGATGTTTTTCAGAGTTGGTAGTCTAAACGGCTGAACGGATCTCGATGAAATTCGGCATAGACGTAGAGGATTGTCTGGAAGAAGACATTGGCTCCTATTTTTTATCTCCCCGCGGACGGAGTCGCGGGTGAAAGCTAATGTTAGTTAAACATCAAAACTTGTGGCCTTAAATTCAACCATTAAGTCACTCTGCGGCTGATGAATCTACTACTCTGTGTTGGCTAAAAAATATAACTAGTAACAATTTTATTCAGACACTCCTCTACACGGCCACGTAATCACGGCTCGATTAATACGCTTTGATATTAAAATAATAAAGTCAAAGAAAACTATTCTTTATCACTAACAGAATAAGGTGCAGTTTTGTAACAAAAGTTATATCCTAGAGGGTTGAGCACGATTAGCATTTTCACTCGAGTCGGGGATATTGTATGAAAATTGGCTTCAGGATCCAAGCCATATGGAATTATCGAGGCGATATGAAATTGACTTCGTTCCACAATCCCGCTTTAAAGCAAAAATAGTTCAATATATGTTATATTGAACTATTTTTTCTAGCGACTTCGTCCACGTGAAGTTAAAAATATAGCATATGTTACTCACTGATAAGCTAGCTTTTTAATGGTGAAAGAATTTTTGAAATCGATCCAATTGTTTTTGAGGTATTTCAACACAAATATATATAAAATAATTCAACAATACAATTTTTCCTCTTTATAATATTAGTAGAGATTTCTACACCGTGATTAATACCAGCGTTAGAGTAGGGTGGGGCGGAGACCGCCCAGGGCGCTGGACAGAGGGGCGACACGAGTCTACAAATTAGTGTCACGTAACCTTGTTAACCTCCCCCTAAGGCATGAAAAAAGAGGGCGCCGTAAAAGCGCCCAGGACCACTGGTGGGACGTAACCGGCACTGTTAAGATATTTCTGTTATAACAAAATTAGCAGTAGAAACCCACGTTAATATTTTCAACATGCTTTACGAGTATTTTGAATGACCATTTATTTCGATGCATTACAAATTACTTCAGTCTTTTTGTCATCCTAAGCGACTGAAAAAATATAATTGAAAAAAAAGGTTGTTTTTTTTTTTAAAACAAGCTTCTAATAAATCTAAGTTATACAACTTTTATAACTAAGTATTCTTAAAGAACAAAAGTAATTGTGGTTTAATAAAGAATTACAACTAAACTTTAAAAACGAAACACTTGAGTCACGAACGAAGAAGAAATAAAAACGTAACATTGTTATGGAAAAGTTTAATTTCGCAATTCGGAGAAAAATTTTATTTACGTAATGAAATTTTGTTGTTTGCTCAATGTAATTATGTATTACGTCAGTAAAATAAAATTAATAATTAAAAGATTGCTGAAAAAACTTCAAAATATGGAAAAACAATATAGTTATAAACTATAGCATACTAATACTATAAATGCGAAAGTTTAGATGGATGTTTGGTAGAGTTTATAGCCTAAAGGGCTGATCGGATTTCTATGAAATTAGGCATAAATGTAGAGGATAGTCGGGAAGAATACATATGATAGACTTTTGTTGCTTCTTCGATTCTACCGATTGATCTATTCTAACCGAAGTCAAGTTAAAAATAATTTGATTTTGGAACAAAATTGTTCAACAATTTTTGGATCGATCTATTCAAAAAAAATTAACAATCTCGTTTAAAAAAAAGTTCATTAAAATCACATAAAAATTGTAACTCGTTAACAAATCTCAAGTCTCATCGAACTAATGAAGGGACTCCATATAAATGTATCAGCAAAAATCCGGTTACCATATTTTACGTGAGTTGCAGAATTGTCTGCGAGTACATGAAAAAGGGCGACTTTAACGAGGTTAATCCACATGACAAAGGTTTAAACGATACATTAAAACGAGTATTAAGGTTTATGAAAGCAATTTGTATATATTTTTTACGGTTAAGGATTTAAAAAGGGGTCATGACATGTTACACTGATTATTAAAAAGGAAAAAATGCTTACACGAAAATTATACAACATTTTTTTTATTTTAAAAATATCAGAAATAGCTTTAACGCATTTTTATCGCAGATCAGGCATCTATTCGTATCGCTTAATTAAACTAATATTATAAAGAGGAAAGATTTGTATTTTTGTATGTATTGAAATAAGTCAAAAGCTACAAAGTCGATTTTTAAAATTCTTTCACCGTTAGATGGATAATTTATCTGTGAGTAACATAGGCTATATAATTTTTTTAATCTCACGGGGACGAAGTCGCAAGCAATATCTAGTCATTTACAAAATAAAAGATTTATTTCAAAAAAGTTTTAAACATTTAAAAAAAATATTATTATTCATACTAATATTATAAATGCGAAAGTTTAGTTGGATGGATGTTTGTTAAATTTGTAGTCTAAACGGATGAACGAATCTTGATGAAATTTGCCAAAAACGTAGAGTTTTTAAAGAACAAATAGGACCACACTTTAGTTTTTTTTATTTTCACTCGGACTCGCAGGAGAAAACTAGTATTTAATAATACTAAAGAATTTACAACTATGATTATAATAACATAGTTTACCTTGTGACATAATACATCAATATCCAGTTCATTGGCCACGTCTTTGATGAGGTCCATAAACAGGTCGGCCTCATCTAGCTGCCTCTGTGCGGAACTGCTCGGCGAACGGGATCTCTGCAAATAAGAAACACTTGTAATTGGAAACAAGAAACAGTCGCAACGCGTGTTAGAAACATTTGTAACATTACTGAAATTGTTGACTTGTTTTCTCCTTACAATATATATGCAAAAATAAGTAACTTTTTTTTAAAGAAAAAAGTTCAGCAGTTAAGACATTGCTATTTTTAAATTCCAGGCGCGTAATTGGCTGAACGGTTGGAACATCTTTTTAAAAAAAACAAGACTTTCCATTTCCTTCAGAAACTCGTAAAGAACAAGATTGCGAAATAAGATTAACTCTTGACAAATGCCTACGCTTTTCCCAAAGGTACGTTTTAATAATTAAAGCTTTTACAGTCACGGAAAAAGAGACGTAAATTGAATCGCCTTTTTTTAGTTATGGTTATTCAAATCACGTATTGTAACAAAAATTCAACATTTTAAACTTATCAGTGCTCTTTAATAGTGTATTAGAATAATCGAATATTCCATTAGAAGTACGAATTAATCATTTATCGAGACTTAACAAATGACTAAGTTCAAAGTAAACTTATAGAAAATACAGTCCAGAAAACTATTTACCGTTACAAAAATATTGGGACACGAACTCTGCAAAAAGTGGCCAGTCATGCAAGAATTTGAACTTTATTAGGAATAACTACAGTAACGAATAAAGTTTTACTGCAACCACGAAAAACGACCTTAATTTGTTAAATTATTTTTAAACTGTCTTTAGCCCGCGACTGCGTGGTATTAAAAAACAAAACTGAGTAACCTATGTGTTCATCCAGACTATCCTCTACGTCTATGCTAAATTTCATAGAAATCCGTTCAGCCGTTTAGGCCAGAAACTCTAACAAACATCCATCCATCCATCCATCTAAACTTTCGCATTTATACTATTAGTATGAAGTATGATTTAATAGTATGAAAATATATAGCACTAGCTTTCGCTCGCGACTTCATCCGAGTGAAATAAAAAAAAACAAAAGTGAGTAGCCTATGTGTTCTTACAGATCATTCTCTACATTTTTACCAAATTTGATCGAAATCGGTTCAACCGTTTATACTACAAACTCTAACAAGTATCCATCCATCTGAACTTTCGCATTTATAATATTAGTATGTTATTACTTTCGGTAAAAACGAATCAGCCGTAACGCGTCATAAGTCAAAAGATCAAAGGGTTTAGACGACAAATTTAGAATGTAACGATCGATTTACGATTTTAAATTACGGGTCATTAGATGACATCTTAATA